CCAGTGCAGCAGCCACCACAGCTGTTGAGGCTTGGCAAGCGCTGCCACAGTTGCAACGAAACTCCAGGCAAGCGACCACACCTCGGGTCAGGGGGAATTCAAGCATCACTGTCCAAGAAACAGAAGTGCAGCATGGGCCAGCACCTAGTACGGACCTGCGGGGGTGATGATCATGGTGACCCCAGCAGCAACGAGGAGGAGACAGGGCTTGTGTGGCGGCATTGGCAGCAGAAGCAGAAGCAGAAGCAGGAGCGGCTGCAGCAGAAGCAGCAGTTGCTGCAGCAGCAGGTGCAGCGGCTGCAGCAGCAGGAGCAGCGGCTGAAGAAGCAACAGCAGCGGCTGCAGAAGCAGCAACGGAAGCAGATACAGAAGGAGCAGCGACAGCAGCAGCAGCAGAAGCAGAAGCAGCAGCAGCAGCAGAAGCAGAAGCAGAAGCAGAAGCAGCAGCAGAAGCAGCAGAAGCAGAAGCAGAAGCAGCAGCAGAAGCAGAAGCAGAAGCAGAAGCAGCAACAGCAACAGCAGCAACAGCAGCTGTGCAAGCAAAAGCAGAATGATAAAAGATAGCAGCAAGGCCATGCTGATGGGTGGTGTGATGGCACCCATGGGGGAGAGGGGGAAGATGTGTAAAGAGGAGAAGACCTATAGCAATGGGGAGGAGGGAAGACCTGGCAGTAGTGGAGCCATGTGTGTGTGGGGGGGTACGTTGTGTAGTGTAGTGGGTTGGTAGGAGTAAACGGTGGAGGAATGGTAGGAGATGTGCATGGTTATGATAGGGGCCCCACTCATGTCGGTCAAACATTTTGCTGAGAGCTGAGTGCCGGATCATATGATGCATCTCATCAATCATCAGAGGTACAGGCAAAGCAAGTGTAGGGAACAGGGAGGGGAAAAAGAGGGGGTGTGGGGTGCTGGGGAGGAAAGGGGGACAACGGAAGAGGCCGGTAGAGAATGATACCTTTACAATATTCCAAATCGAGGATGCCTCCACAAACGACATAACTGATTTATCGTGGTGATCTGGTGTTGTCGTCTTCCACGCATGTTTTGAGCATGTAGGGGAAGCGGCGGCATACATACATACATACATACATACATACACGCGTCCGCGCCCGCATGGAGAGAAGCCCATGGGTCACACAAGCAATAATGCTCATGTACATGCACAGCATCTACAGAGGATACAACGCAGTGCCACCACACATTATTTTGCAGTGCCTTGGCCCTTGCTTGAACTTTGTGTGTTGCTGCTTGGAGGTGCTGATTGTGCGGTTGGGGCATCACTCCAAGCGGTAGTTGAATGCAGATCCGTGCAGGGTGCACGTCACGAGGGTGCAGGGTGTGTGGGTTAATAGCGTGCATACCAGGGCGCAAAGCACCCCTATATATGCTGCTTTGCGAGCTGGCATTAACCGTGGATGTGCGCAATACTTTGCGAGGCCATAAGGCTTATCCAGGAAACACTTTAACGCTCGGTCGTACACCAGAAGGATAGACTTGTTTAGGCTTCTCGATGGCCTGTGAAACATTTCATGTGCGCTATGTAAGCAAAAAAGCTATTGCAGCAAAGGCTTATTTGTAACGGCCCATCATCATTCCTTAAAATCGCGCGTTTGCATCACCGGCAAAGCCTGGCAAACCGGCAGCCTCTGCAGGTTGTGTGTGACTGCAGATAGCCGTTTAG